AAACAGGGCCATTTTCATGGAAACCCTTCTGTTCCCTGCTTTTTCTCTCCTTCCTCTCTTTAAGTGAAACAGCCTCAAAGTCAAGGCTGATAGGTACTAGAACAACATCAATTTAAATTTAATTTTCATAATATTGTGTAAACCCCCCCCACCTATCTGGGGTTTGATATTTCAGAAACCTATGCCTATGGGTAAATATGTATGATGGATCTCACTGGAGCTGATTGACACAAGAATATAATATTTACTTCAAAAATGTTTGCAGTTTCATGTTGCAGGATTCCAGTCCTTGGACAGTTGGATTTTAATTTGTTTCCTGGGAATCTTACCAAGAACAATGTACACTGTGCTGGATGTTGAAATTGTGCTGCATCTGTAGAAAGAGAAAAAAATATTTATTTTATGGGCTTCGTAGGTTTACATGGCTGTATGTAGGGAGAATACTTGGAGGACTGAAAAATAGATTATGCATTTTTAGCATTTTACTATCTGTAACAAACAAAGATTTGTTTCCTCCACTTTGGTAAAGAGGAAATCCATGTGTTTCTTTGCTTTTATACACCCCTGTACTCTTTGAGGTGGCTTTAAATTTTCATCAGTGTCATATGAGGTAAAATGTATATTAAAGCATTAAGGAAAATGGGGTTAAGACCTGCACTGTCTAATAAAAGAAATTAGTATTTTTTGGCAGCCATCCTTTGGCCTGTGTGATTTTTTTCCAAAGGGCAGTGACATTTCTCCTGGCTTTTTTAGGACTGCCATTCTGCGTGTGGACACGCTTTTCACCCATTGACCTTTTTTATTTATTTTCTTGAATGCCAAATATTTAATGTGTCATTTCTGGCACAAAGTTCTGGTGATCAAAGGGGAAACAAAATGGGCTTGAAGCAGGTTGCTGGAAAGGCACACATGGGATGGCACAGCCATAAGAAAGCTCTTTTTTTTCTGCAGGAATTGAGCACCAGTCCTCATACCAACTTAATGAACACAGGAGGAAGCACATATTTTCCTGGGCCTGAAAGGAAATGTGGTCACAGAGTGCAAGGTTTTCTACCAGGATAATCAGCTAGAGTGGCGTGAGCGACCGCCTGCCAAACTTCCTTTGCCTCCTGTGTACCTGGCCCAATTAACTCCATTCTTCATTCTTCACTCATCTCTCCAGGTAGCTACCTGCTCTTAATAGGCCATAAAACGCATGGCACTGGTCCCTATGGGAATGTTTTGGGGTGTAGGGGCTGTCACAGCCCTTTGTAGGGGTCTCTGAGTGTCAGAGGCAGCAGTGCTGTCCAAAAAGAAATTCAGGGGATGTACCTGTGCCCTCTTCCTGGTTACTGGAAGAGTCTCTTTGGGTAGTGTAGGTCATGGGATGAAAGCTGGGTTCGTTTGGGAGAGCTGCACAGAGGAGCCAGTGGAGAAACTTCAGCTAAGCACAAAGGGAGGGACTTCAGCTGGGATTAGATACTGTTGTTCTTATCTCTTCAACAAGATCTCTTCTTTGCTTCTGCCTGCCTGCCTCCCTCCCAAGTGGGGATTAACCATAACTTTTCTAATTGGGCTTGTAAAAACAGATTGTGCTTGGTTACAAGCCCAGGAGCTCAGCTCTTTCCCTGCTACAGCCCCTGTGCTTCCTGCACTCCAACCTTCCATCTGCAGAGGTCCACGGGGTGGGAGGTGGCAGGGGGCAGATGGTCTGGTGAAGGACATTCATTGCACAGACTTCAGATTCCAAAGAAAAAGCCCTAGGAAGGCCTGAACTTCTGCAGGTGGAGCTCTGCAGGGAGGGAAAGCAGCTGGTACTGTGACCCCAGGAGAAGACAAGAAATCTACAGCTTTTGGGTAGGCTCATGCTTGAAAACATTTCAGCAGGCTCGTGACCTTTAAAAGTGATTAGAGCTAGCTATTAATTCATTTGTACCTCCAATGTTCTTTGAGTGTGTGCTCTATATTTTCTGAATGTGTATACATATATAGTATCCAAATGGTATTTCATAGAAGTTGTTTAGAGCCAAGGAATGTATTTGATTATCTATAACTATTCCTTGGGGTCTTCCACAGGGATGTGCTGAATCTCAGGGTATTATCCAGAGCCTCAGAATTGAAACTATTGATTGAAACTGGAGTAGATCACTGGGACTCTGCAAAAATTTACGGCTGAGCCAAACTTCTCAGATCCTGCCTTCCTTTGCATATTTCTGAGTATCCTTGAAATCCAATTGCTCTCATGAGGACTGAGAACTGGAAAGATGGATTCTCACTCATATTTTTCTGGGAAAGTTGAGACATGGTGGAATAACACACCTGCTCAGTGCCACTCTCAGTCATCTAGGAAATTTAGAACATTTCATGAATTTAAGCCTGCCCAGCTCTCATGTCACACAGGAAAAACCTGTGGAATCAAATTTACTTCTCAAACTTGCTTATTTTTGAACCTTCATCCTCAGCTGGCTCAAGGGACAAAAATCTTGTTTTGGTGGTTCTGAGATTTGTCACATGGAACTTCACATGAAAACTTCTGATATCAGAATTCCAACTTACCAAAACTGCAATAATTCAGAGTTACTGAGAATTTTTCTTTTCCTCTAAGAGACACCTGGGAAAAGCTACTTCTAGAGAAATGATGCTGTTGTGATACCCTCACATCCCCAGACTCTGCACCCTGGCAGAGTCCCAGCGCAGTCAGTAGAGCCACATTAATTTGTCTCTGGCCAGGAAAAGCCCTCATCATTTTAAGTAAGTCATATCTACATGAAATAATAATAAAATCTGTGAACTTGTATCATATGAGCATGCCTGGAGAGGGATGAGATTAAAACCAGAGGTGCTGGTACCTGCCAGATTAATTTAGTGACCTCTCCCTGCAGCCCCAAATTCACTGATTTCTACAATTGTTAGAGAAACCCAGAATGGTGGTGGGTCACTGAGAGTTCTGATGCTTTTTGTGTTCTTGGTTAGGAAGGAGTTAAAAACCAGTTCTGGAAGTGAGTTGAAATATTCAGAGTAAGTTTTCCAGAGGCGGCTGACTGAGCATGGACTTTGCACTTTCTGCTGTTCTCCTGCTCCCTTAAATTGTGGAAGGTATAACAAACTCACGGCTGGGGGGGCTCCCAAGCAATGGCTCACAATAAAGTAATTTGGTACTGGCCTAGCTCAAACATTCTCAAAAAAAGCCAAGCGTGGCTTTGAGCTGGAGCAGAGTCCCAGGTGGCTGAGAGCTGTCCTGCATTGCCTGCTCCAGGCTGCCAAGTCCCTGGGGAGCAGCACCCACATGCTTGATTTGACTGAGTGCGTTAGCTGGGACACAGATATGCTGCCTTACTCAGTGTAGTGGAGCAGGGTTAGGGAAAACGTCTCACTGCTGTAACTTCAGCAGAGCAAACACAAAAAGGAATAAAAATCAGACCATTGGGGCAGCACGGGCTCTGTCTCCCACTAGGGGTTTGCACACAAGAAGGCAGTGCGCCTTGTCTGAGGCAGGAATTCTGCCTCTGGCCAGGGTTTAAACCCCATTTCTTTCCATAGCTATGCATAGCTACACCCTCTCTCACCGGCTCTGTGTCTCTCCTTGTGAGGATGAATTCTTCTGCAGGTTTTCCTGTGGGGCAGCAGCTGCCAATGCCCTGGTGCTGCAGGGAGGTCATGTCCAGGGCTAGACCCAGAGAGGCAAAAGCAGGAGTGCTGAGCAAACCTTGGCAAAAGCTGATCATGCCTTGGCTAAAGTCTTTATTCCCCTGGCCTGCTGAAGGTCTGCTGAGGGAGCCAGAGAACCCATGCAGCTCTGCAGCCAGCTGTGCGTGCCTGCTGCAGGAGTTAAAACTCTCTCAGGCAGTGTGGCTGTGTTTGTTGTCCTATTCACTTTAAAATATGTCATGCCGTGTTAATTATCCTTTTCACATATGTCAGAAGTGATGTACGATTAATAAATGAGGATGTTTCAGGTGTTGCCTTTGGTGCTGTGTGAGATGGTGACAGGGTGCAAGCTGTGCTCACTGAGCCCTTACTGCAGGTGGAGACGGCACTGGGGTCCTGCCTGCAGCACACCAAGCTGGTGACAAAGCATAAAAACTTACATTCCAAAAGTGTCTTGGAAGCATTTCTCGACAACAAAACCTATTGCAAGTAGAGTATTTCCAGCCAGCGAGGGCCGCTTTAGTAATACCTTTTCTGTTAGCTAATTTCTGTCCTTAGGAGGAAGCGGCTTCCTTCCTCTCTTCATTTAATTCCTTTGCTGTGCTGACCTTCACCTGTGTGACTGGCTCCCTGAAATCCTCTCGGGAGGATCAGTGTCAGTTCTAATAAGCCAGCTGTCACTTTACACCAAACAGAAAGTAAGGGTTCCATTTGTTAAATGGCCCACGAGAACCCAGAGGCTTTTTCTACCACCCTCTTTTTTTTTTTTTCCTAGGGGAAAGTGTTTTGCTTTGACGTGGCCGAAAGCGCACAAAGCGGATTTGAAGCTGCAGGTTTAAGTGTCTTGAGTGAAGACTGCCATGTAAGGCTTTTCTTTATTTATCAGCCGTGCTGAAACGCGATCAGAGTTACAGAGCGGGGTCCAGGAACAAAGAGTTTCCTTGTGTTTCCAGCCTGAGGATAAGGGATACATCGTGTAAGGAACACACTGGGAATTTCTTTCCTTTAGAAAGCTACACAGGAAGACACAGGAAAAGTAAGGTTGTTACACTGAGCTCTTGGCTGCCGATGCAGGGTGCAACACTGCTTCTTGTTGGGAGTTTTGCCATTGACTTGATTGCGAGCAGGACAGCTTTTCTGTGTCACAGCTGTTTATTCGTTGCTTCCCTTCTACTGCTTTTTGGTGCTGACAAGCACAAGCTGTGCCCCTCCACCGGCTTGCACAGGTGGGTTATATTTACACCACTAATCATGGAAAGTATTTGAGAGTGGAAGTGAAGGCAAGTGCTATATTTGTGTGCTGTTCACACAGTAGCTGGTGTCTGAATTCAGCAGCTTGTGGAGCACAGGTTTTAAACAGTGTTTGACAAATGTGCAATCAGTGCATGTCCCTGACTGGCCACCACTGGAGAGCACCTTGAGACAGGAAAAGAAAGTGGCGGCTCCGGCGTGCGAGAGGAAGGCCATGGTTTGTTCCTGTGGACCTGGAGGTTGTGTAAGTATGGCTGCTTCTGGGGGTTTGCCTCTGTGGTGGGCATTTTGCAGCTGAGAAGAGGGCTGGATGTGGAGTCAGATGATGAAAAGCTCCCCCATGGCTCTGCAGTTAGGCTCTGTGAAGCCAGTCCCCCTTCTCAGGAAAGGTGAGGCCGCTCAGCTGTGTTCCTCAGGGCACCTCAGAGCCTTTTGCTAAGCATTGTTTGGAGGTACCTGCACAGTATTGCAGCAATATCCCACAGGCTCTCCCCTCCCTGTGGACAACCTCCCAGGAGCTCTTCAGTCCTCTGTCACTGCTGCTCCTTTGCCAGCAGAGGCTAAGGGACAGCAAGCCGCTTAGTGCGTGTTACAGGAGGCTGCCCAAGCTTTACCCTGGAGATGATCCTTTCTCCTTCCTGGCTGCAGAAGTGGGGAGGGAAGCTTGCCTCTTGTTCCCCTGGGCATTTAATTTGTCCTTGTCTTGCAATCTGTATCGGCTGGAGGCTTAGGGACAAAAGTCTTTCTTCATTAGCACCCTAATTTATACTCTAAACTAAGTGTTTGCAGTAACTGAAATGGCTATCTGAGAATGTTTTCAGGATATTTAAATCTAGTTAAGTATCCAATATACCATCCCTCAGCCTGAGTGAGCTTTGAAACTGCGTGCGTATGACAAATCTACATCTGGCTTCTCTGTGTCTTCCCAGCTGTGGGGAAAGGCCTTCAAGTCTAGAACCCTGTGCTTGGCCCTGCTCTGCAAAGAGAGGGTTCTGGCTTTGTTTGTTCAGATTTTGTGTTGGATTTTTTCTTGGATGTGTTCCTAAGGCTATGACTTGCAGAGAGTGGTGAATGTGATATTTAATGGCAGTTTATTTAGGTTTTTTTTTTTTGTCCCCCTTGGACTACTTCAAAGGACTACAAAGTGGGGCTACCTAAACTTTAGACCTCCCCAAAACTTCAGGCCGTAGCAATGCTGCACCTTGAACAAAGTACTCAGTAGCCATTAAGGCACACAGCTTTGAATAATTGACTTTCTCAACAACAGCTGAAGTTTGTGGCTTTTCAAATGAATGGGACTGGAGCCCACAGAATCATTGTCTCTTCAAGCCACTGCCCAGGTGGGAAGTGGTGCTGGGTAATGAGCCAAAAATTTATATATATATATATACACAAAAGAAGGGATAGCTTCATTTTCAAGAGATTTAGGGTTGAATTTATTTAAAATAAAAGTCTGCGTATAAGTGTATGACTGTACAAACTTATATATGGAACCAACAACAGATAATCAGCCTAAAAATGTGTAAGCAACAAATGTCTTTCAGCATGTACTTCTTGGATGTAAACCTAGGAAAACAAAACAGATTCTTTTATGGTTAGCTCTCATCATGTAAGAGAAGTAAAGTAATTCCTAGACTTGGTGTAGTTCCTTGCTTTTATAGTTGGAAAATAGGCAATGCACAACTCCAAGCATAGTTTAGAGCTTTTATCTTTGATGAAACTTGGTCCATGTCACTCCCTGTGGATGTGGGAAGTTGCTAATTAGGAAAGTGAAATGTTTTCTCGTGTAGCTACAGGGCTCTGAAGACAGTTAATTCAGTATGCTCTGAGAGTACTGAAACTGGGCCACTGAACACTTGTTGATGTTTAATCAAATTGTGATTCATGGACTCGGACTTCTTTCTGAACTTTATATTACTTACAGCCTAAGTGACAGTTTCTTTCCTAGAACAAGAAGCCCATTTTGATGTGGTATGGCATGCTTTTCATACAATGAACCTATCTTTTGCAGGACTTTGCCATATCCCAGATGCAGGGATTTTGCTGTTTGTAGTCTGCATACATGAGTTAATAAAAACATAGGTGTTCTTCTTAGCAGCTTGTGATCTAGATGTGAGTTTAAGGCTGTATAATCTTGGATGTTAAAAAAAACACCTTGGAGGAGCAGATTTAAAACATCAGCATCTTCAAATTGTCTCATTTAAAATATTCTCAATTTTTTTGGCTGGAACACCACCTTACTCTCATCACTTACATTAGCCTTTCTACAAGCCGGTTGTGAGAAAGCTTTCCTGGCCAGGAAAGCTTTCTCTGTCCCATATGTTAAGGATTAACTGGCTTAGTAACATTAGGACTGCATTTCCCTTTCCTAACTGTGTTCCTCATAAAAATGCTGTAGGTAGGAATCCACAGCAATCACTGAGTGTGATGGTCCTGAGTGCCCTGCTGCAGAGGCACCACCTGTGCAAAGGAGTAGAGCTCTTGGGAAATGAGTTACCAGAAGAAGAGAAACAAAACCAAGCCTCAGCTGGCTGGATGGTCAGCTTTGGGTGATTTGGTGAGGAAATATAAATCACTGCTTTTTAAATCTAGTGTCATTTTGAAATTAGTAATGGATAAAACTTAAATATGATTCCTGGTGAAGTGTTCTCTAAGTTTTCATTGCTATTTTTTTCTCTCTACAAATGGAGAGGCAATTAACTGCCTGTGGAATGTAGGATTTGGAGGGAAAATCGTGATTATGTACTATATGTGAAAACCTAGCTCTGCATTTACAAGCTGTAACTGAGCTTGTAATGAATGATTATGATCATAACTAGGCATGACTATTTGCATTGATTCCCACTTAACAGTTGGTTTTCTGTGCTTTTGAAGGTGAGGTGACTTGTTAATTGTTTTTTCTTTCCTGCTCAACTAGAAATAAGTTAGCTGTGTTTATTTTTAGGGGGGAATGGAGTATGAAAAGAGAAGCTTGGCTCATAATTACTGTGCGAGTGGAAAATGTGTTCCCAAGTGTGTGTTAGGATTAATACAGCCAGCACCTGTGAGAACCTGTTTCAGCCAAACAGCAGATGCTGTAAGTTCCTTAGTAAATAATTTGGAGCTAGTATTCTTCTTCTGAGTGTATAAATCAGTCCTCTCCACCCCTTCCTTCTTTTAAGTCCCCCAGATCTACTTTCCTTTTTTGTCTCTAAAATGATCCCCAAGCCCCCACTCTGTGTGTTGCTCAAAAAAAAAAAAAAGAGTACAACTTCCCACTGAGACCTCTGGAACAGCTGTGTACAGCACAGGTTATCTCCTGTTGGATCTGTTAATCTCCAGCAAAAGCTGTGATTTGTACAATTATTTTCACCACAGCCCGCAGGACCCAGCTCATGCTGCAGAAAGGTCAGTGCTGAACGAGGCCTGGGTGCTACATACAGGTCCAGCATGATGTAACAGTAAACGGTAGTGCTGGTAAGTGTCTGGTTGGTTTGGAGGGTGGCAATGTGACAAAAAATGTCATTGTCATGGTCTGAGTGTCGTGGAGAGGGTTTTGTGCAGATGAGAAAACAGAGAGAGGAAATGTTATAAATTACCAGGACTACTATGAAGTCATTTGCTCACCTCTTAGTGTTGCTAATAAAGTACAAAAGTGGCAAAACAGATTGGTCACAGGTATGAATGGTGCTGCTGCTGCATTTTTTTTTTAAACAAAAATTGTGCAAATAGGAAAAATATGGATGACAGATGTGTTTCAGCTCTTTCAGTTTGACAGTTTGAATTTCTAATGCTTCTGGATCCTCCATGCTCCCATCATGGTGATGAGTGGAAGTCAAACCACCACCTTCATTTTAATGCTGGTTTGAGCATGATAATAATCCAAGGTGAGGTTTGATGAAGATTGACAGAAATGTTCTGGTTGCAGAACAGGTCCTTGTCCAAATTAGAGTCAAAGGTGTGAGGCTGCTCTCTGGGTGCTAAGGATTGTGTTCTGTTACTGCACTAATAGATGAGAGAGAAATTTAATTTCTTTATGAAGTAGCTTCATTCAGTTGTCTGTAGGGACCTATTTGAAGACAAAGAAATAAAAAAGCAAAAGCCTTGTTCTAGAGGTGAAAGGAACAGTGGGACTTTGGAATCCTATAAATTGCTTCCTAAAAATGATCCTGCTCATGAACTGTAGAAGGTGAACACTATCCTTTTGAATTTATCACTTTCTTTTGAGTTATATCTTTTGGTGAGGATGCAGGTGCCCACGGTGCAGGGCTTGAGAGCAGTGCCAGAGCTCGTGGACTAGCTCTGTTCCATAACCCACTGACACCCCACGTGCACAGGAGAATGACCTGCTGGCAAGATGTGGTCCAGATCATGTCATTGCTCTCAAGAAAATTCTTTTCTTTGCTGTGGTTCCTTGGTGATTTCCATGGATAAAAGTACCACCTAAATGAGGTGTGCATCTTCCTAGAGTGAGGTTCTTTCACAAGTACCTGGTGGCAGATTTGGGGTTATTTCTGTGCAGAAGCTGGCAATTGTGCCTCAAGGACAGACAGAAGAATAGCTTGAGATTTAATAGCTTCCCTATATCTTGAGTTTCTCTTCATGGTTTCTGCCTTTATGATCCTAATCGACAGCTCTTACACTTAATAGCTTGAGATAATTTTGGGTTTTTTTCTTGACTCTTCCATTTTTTTTGGACCCAGATAGGAAGTCTCATTATATGTTTCCATTTTCAGCAGAATTTTACCTGTCATTCTCAAAACCTGAGCACAACAAACTACATCACAAAGTAATAGTAAATAAAACTTCTTATGAACCAAACAAAAACGTTGTATAATATTGTGAATCTCCGTACCATTTTGTCAAACGCAGACTACAGTTTAATGGACTTTCAAAACAGAAAAATTAAATCAGATATAGCTCTATGGAAAACAAGCGAGGTACTTCTTATCACATGAATAAATAGTTCCTTTGGAAAATTGTTTTGCACCATTATTGCTTCAAGTAGCATTTATGTAGTCTACTAATGAGAGGCCTCTGTAGCAGCTAACACACCAGGTATGGAAAAGGCTCAGGATTTCTAATTCTTTTCAAAAGTGAATACAGTGTGTCAGAAAGGAGAGGAGAAGGGGAAAAGAGTAAGGAGTTAGAACTCTTTATTAATAATAACAGTGAACTAGCCTGGGGAGAAAAGTTCCTATGAAAGGATAATACATAAAGAGTTTTTCACACTGCCTCAAGTTTTTTTTGTTAAAAATAAGTTCA